AAAATATCTGAATAACAGTAGTACATATTTTAGTATAACTTATATTAATATAAGTCCATCTGCCGCCCATCTCTATTTGAAAAGAAGAAAGTATTACTTTTTTTATGGAGTTTAGTTACGTTTATATCTTATAGATGGCGCCACTAATCAGAAACGAAAGTTTTCAGATTTATCTAGTTATATTTGCCAAGATTATAGAAAATAAAAATCACATTAGATAACTTAAACATTCTCATCAATTTCTGCCTAGAAATCGAGAGGAATATGTACTACTTTCTAGATTTCGTTCAAAAACATATCCTTCAAACGAAAATTTCATAGATTCAGTCTCACCCTATCTCCTTTGTGTCAATTATGCAATACATCAGAAACTATAGAATATATTTTTGTTCCAATGTTTGAAATATGAAGATCAAAGAAGCAAGCTGAACGGCGGTTTTGTGTACAAAATTATATCCTAATCCTGGATTTTCTATCTGACTGAATATGCGCGTTACAAAATTGTAATAATCCTTCATTTTTTACTTAAAATCCCTTAACTTCGGCAGTTAGAAGCTTTAATTTTCTTTTATGTTGTTTCTAGTTAGTGTTGTTCAAAATTTTATCTTTCCAATTTTATATTATTATGATCTAGCCGATCAATAGATTCATCTATTCATCGTGTTTATATTTTTCTGCCTATTTCTACACTTTTGGTTTCAAATAAAGTGCAAGTGCTGGGCACCACTTCATTTCATCTAAAATCATATTTAAAATTCAGCACGAGATCTGTCTCATGTGTCATGGACAATCCAAGATAGAAGCTAACGGCTGCTGCGCAGCCACGGAGCTTCACCATAACTCAAATCATCATGTCTCATGTGACAGATTATCATGGATTTACGAATTTTAAGCTTTTTAGTTTTTGATTTTCTTTTTTTTTATCGTTCATCATCACAGTATTTATTATTATTATTATTATTACTATTAATTATTTGCATAGCATTTGAATAAATTGAGAAAAAGCAGCTAGCATGAGCTTAAATCACAAAACACCTATCAAGTAAAATCACAATTCACGGTTTATTTAGGAATTGAGAAAAGTATTTTTCCGTTAAAAATTTAGCAATAAAATTTAGTTCGTAAAAGAAATCCACTACAACTAGATAAAAAATAATAATGAAGACTATAATAAATTAATTAAAGAGGTCAGTTAATAATTAAGACATAATACCGTAAAATGGCTATATTCGAATAAAGCTCCGTCCAGATGGACGAATGGCTTTCGCCAAAGCGTTAAAAACCGATTTGACAGAAAACCGTGCCTTTCTTTCCGGCAAGAGTCGATTTCTTACCCTCATCAAAGCGATCCTATTTATGACCAGCTGTCACTCACAGCCAGAGATAACGCTTGTTTCTCGCGGTCAAATGGAGACGAAATCGATTTGGGGTGACTCTACTAAAATTGTGTTCTCGTCTGGATGGGCTTTAACAGTAAAGCAGTTCCACTTAATCAATGAGGCTTCAGAAATGAATTTCTTTTTCTTTTCTTTTCTTTTTTTATTGCATATACTGAAATATTTTTGCCAGCTATATATAGTCCGACCACCGATAGTGTGGAAAATTGGCAAGCAGCTAACTCGAATAGATTCCAAAAAGTACGTCATAAGAAAGGATTTTAATTGCGATAAAAATAATTTTAATTTTTAATAATTAAAGGTATAGATTGCACAATAGTAAGTGAAAATGAAATGAAAAAAAAAAACTTCCCACTATTATACTTTTATCAATCAAAACCTTTGTGTTATGTAAATCTGACTACCACTCCTAACAAGTCATTGATTCGTTCATTTACGCTTTTTTCGTTCATTTCCACCTAGATTGAAATATCAGTAATGCGAATTGATTCCGACTCCGATTAATGGGACTCGAATGCAACATATTTCAGTTCAGCAATACTTTTAGAATATTTTGTGTGAAAAAAAAAAAAATCACTTTTTAACATATATATAACATCAACGCAAAAATCAAAGGAGAACTGATACGGTGTGACTAGAAACACGACCATTTTGGTCAACAAAAGCCACTATTGATATTCGCTACTCGTAATTTCTATAACAAAACTATCGTAGCATTCGCAATACATGAACCCCGAAGTTCCTCACATTCAGAAGAAAAAAATAAGTTTTTAATTTTATAACTTTATAAAGCTTTTGTCGTACTTTTTATAGATTGTTTTTTTAATTTACCGTTTATCTTTTTTTTTCAATTTGCGTTAAAATTATTTTTACAAATTTTTCATCTTTGTTATAAATATATATTTGTATGATGCTCTGATTTCTATTACATTTCACTTTTTAGTGTAACCTACCCCTTTCGAATCCCAATTTTAGTGAAAAAAAAATCGAAAATGTTTTTGCTGTTTTATTTTAAATATGAGACCTTTAGCTTTCGAAAACAATTTTGGGTTCGTTTCTAGAATCATTAGAAATCTAGATACAACAGTTCAATCGCGAGCTGTTTATCAAAAAATATTCATGCATATATTTTAATTTTTATGTTTATCAATGTTTTATGACCTAATTTAACAAAGCATCAAAAATGTTCTTCGTAAAACATTATTTAAAAATTTTGTTTCTGAACTTGGTCGGTTACCTTAAAATAAAATTCAATGGAAATCAGAGCATCGTGGAGTCTCTGAATTGAGGATTTCTAATGGACCCTCTAATTTTCCAAGCGATTGTTAAAACATTATAAGAGACTTAAATATATTTAACATTACCACTTCTACCATACTGGGCAAGTATAAAAGATAATGAAACGTAACATTGAGATGTATGATGATTATTTGTTGCTCATCATTAATGCATGTCTTTATTGCTTGTGAAAAGAAGTTACGTTAGTTTTACGGGAAGTCTTAGAATGACTATTTTTTTTCAGTATTCTTGTTAGAAATTTTATTGATTGAGACAGATGTAAGGATGCTTTGTTTATCTTCTGGAGGAATTTTAGTATTTCTCGGGGGAGAAGAGGATGAGGATGATATAAAAGAATGAGAAACTGTTTGATAAACAATAATTTCAATTTTAAGGGATCCTGATTTTTAAAACTGATAAGACTCTTCAATACAAAAAGTAAGTATATTAAATTATTATAAGGAAATAAAAGGAAAGTTATTAAGATATTTTTGAATGCCAAGTTGTTCAATTGTAATGCTGAGTGAAGAAAGCATTTCAAGGTTACATACCCATAGATTTTACTGTACCACATAGAAGCTGCTGAGAAAGAAGATTCGTATAGAACTTTGTTGTTAATATTTGTCAGTATCTGATTTCAGAATTGGTACGAGGAAGACTATTTTCTAGCCTTTTTCTAGGTAATAAAATCCATCAATGAAATCTCTCCTGCTTCTCCGAACTACTCACTAGCACTTCTAAAAAATTATTATTTTAAAATCTAAAATGTCAAATAGGCTTGAAAAGTCACAAACAAAATAGTCAAAATTTTACCTTCCAAATTAAGCATGAATGTTCAAACTATTATGCTTTCAGAACACATTCACGATTATTTTCCTATATCAGTAGAACCATTTTGGCTGGTGATATTAATGCTAGTCATACTCAGCGGGGTTGTTATAATAGAAATAATATTGGTAAATAACTAGCTGTTTATGCCCATAACTCTGATTTTGATATTCTAGCTCCTAACTCTTCTACAAAATTTAGTAATTATTCTGCCTTTACCACTGACCTTGCAGTCACGAAAAATTTTCATTTTAACTACATCATTTCCTCTCTTAATGAGGATTCCTCAGATAATAATCCTGTAATTATTAGATTTAAACTTTCCTATGCTAATATCTCTGTTAACAGCAATGTTAGAACTTCTTGGACTAAATTTTCTTCTTTAATTGACTCTAACTTTAATTACTGCTTATAAACTTAACAATGCAACTGAAATTGATAATGTTACTGAAAATCTGACTAAAATAATTATTGATGCTTTCAATGCAGCCTCGAAAAAATGTATTACTAACAACTGTAGTTATCTTCCTCCGCACATTAAAACCTTAATCACTAACCGTAATCATGCACGTAAAACCAGGTAAATCTTTGGAGATCCGCGAAGTGAGACTAATTATAATCACTCACATGCTTTGCTGAGACGAGCTATTGCTCTTTATAAATATGAAACTTGATAGACACCTGCAAATTGTAAACTGTGAAGATGGCTCTTTCTGGTCTTTCCCCAGGACTTTTAAACTTAAACATACTCCCATTAGAACCCTATGTGAGATATATGTTGTTGGTATATACTATGCTGGTATCCTACAATTCCCTAGCCACCATTGACAGTCAAAAAGCTGAAACTTCAATAATAGTTTCTTGAGAGCAGTATCCATAATCATGATACTGAATATCTTGTTGAGCCTACTATCACTAATTTTATTAATACTTATTGAAACTTTGAAACTCCAATCACTAAAGCGTTTTTCATTATTAATTGTATTTCCTCTCTGAAAATTAACAAAACTCCTGGAATGAATAAATTACTAATAAAATATACAAACCCTTCCTTACAAAAATAATACTTGAGATTTATAAAATTATTGGTTCTATTCTTTATGCTGGATATTATCCTATGTCTTGGAAAACAGCTAGAATTCTCCCAATTTTTAAACCTGGAAAGGATACTACTTCTACTATTAATTACAGACCAATTTTTTACTCTCTTCTATTAGTAAACTAAATGAAAATGTCATCCTGAATCTCTTTAAAAATGAGTCAAATCAAAAGAACCTTCTCACCCTACAGCAATTTGGATTCACCGAAAAACTTTCTACAACTCATCAGCTCTACATTCTCACAGAAAATGTTACTGAAGGAGTTTCCTGGGAATATTAAACTGCTGAAATTTTTTTCTTGATGTGTCCAAGGCTTTTTTTCTGGGATAAAGAACTGATTTACAAACTAATTTCTTACAATTTCTCTCCTTATTTAATTCAAGTAATTCTAACTGCCAACGACCATACCATGATGAATATACAGGTTCTCGTTCGATCACCGAAGTCTAGCATCATCAGGCGCGGTCATTATTTGGGAGGGAGACCATCTGGGGACAACGCGTGCCGTTGCCATTCAAAATTAGCCTGGTGGCCGAGTGACTAGCGCTCGGTGCCCTAGGTTTCGGGTTCAAGTCCCAGCTGTCCATGGATGCTTGTAGTGGCTCGGAATCCACTTTAAACCGTAGGTCTCGGTCTAATATGACTGTTGGGCGTTCGGCTAACAAACCTAACCCCTTAAAAACAAAACATATCGAAATCTGTCATTAGGGCAGATGGCCTGATAAAGAGGAATTCCTATCTATTCCTATCTTTATGACTTTGTTGCAGCAGTAGAGAATGCTAATTCCTCAATTTGTGATATTCATGCTGGTATACCCCAGGGCTCTATTCTAGGCTTTTTCCTTTATAATATTTATATCAACGATATTCCGCAAAAAACAATATCAAAATTAGTCTATATGCTGACGACACTGCAATCTTAACGCAAGGTCGGAAAACTTGCCCCATCCAGGAAAATTTGATAAATTACATCATTGTTTTAGAAAGAATTTTTATAACAGGTGGGCTGACACATAGATGGCGCTACTAGTATTAAATCCATATAATTTCTAGTTAGCCCTAACCTTCAAAAGACACGTTATAAATTTGACAGCTGTTGCACTATTAGTATGTGAATTATAGCATTTTCAGTGACGCAACTTTTTTAGTTTGAAAAAATGGATAAAAAGAAATTTCGTGTGTTAATAAAGCATTGCTTTTGGCGAAAAAAAAAAAATACTATTGAAGCCAAGGCTTGGCTTGATAAACATTATTCGGACTTTGCAATAGGAAAATCAACCGTATTGAAGCGGTTTGCTAAATTTAAACGAGGCGAAATGAGCACCGAGGACGATGCACGCAGTAGACGCCCTAAAATGTTACCGACAAAAACATAAAAAAGTCCACAAAATAATTTCTGATAACCGTAAAGTGAAGTTGATTGAGATAGCTGAGACCCTAAAGATATCAAAGGAACGTGTTGGACATATCTTGTATGAATATTTGGATATGCGAAAACTCTGTTCAAAGTGGGTGCAGCGTGAGCTCACAATCGATCAAAAACAACAACGAATTGATTATTCTAAGCAGTGTTTGGAGCTGTTCAATCGTAATAAACCCGAATTTTTGCGTCGATATGGGACAATGGATGGAACATGGCTCCATCATTTCACACCGGAGTCCAATCGACAGTCAGCCGAGTGGACTACACGTGATGAACCGACTCCAAAGCGTGGAAAGACGCAAAAGTCGGCTGGCAAGGTTATGGCATCAATATTTTGGGATACGCATGATATAATATTCATTAACTATCTTTTTTTCTTTCTAATGCAGCTGGCAAATACTTTAGACAGCTTGGTCTTGGATGCCTTAAGGCAAGCGCTGCACAGACGTACTCACTTTGCATGACCCAGGAGGCGCGTGTAACTTGAAGATAAGCCACGGACGCGGAGTAACAATGCCCCCGCAACGCTCTACGATCCTATTAGATCGGAACCTACTTTTAAAGTGAATTCAGAACCACTACAAACAACCATGGCACCGCCGGGACTCGAACCCGAAACCTATGGTACCTAGCGGCAGAGCGCTAGTCACTCGGCCATTCAGGCCCTCATCATTGACTATCTTAAAAAGGGAAAAACCATAAACAGCGACTATTACGTAGCGTTATTGGAGCGTTTGAAAGACGAAATCGCGGAAAAACGGCCTCATTTGAAGAAGAAGAAAGTGCTGTTTCATCATGACAATGCACTGTGTCGCAAATCAAGGAAAACGATGGCAAAATTGCATGAATTGGGCTTCGAATTGCTTCCGCATCATCCGTATTCTCCAGATCTGGCCCCCAACGACTTTTTCCTGTTCTCAGACCTGAAGAGGATGCTCGTTGGACAGAAATTTCGCGCCGATGAAGGGGTAATCGCCGAAACTGAAGCCTATTTTGAGGCTGAAGACAAATCGTACTATAAAAATGGTATCGAAAAATTGTATGACCGCTATAATAGTTGTATCGCCCTCGAAGGCAACTATATTGAATAATAAAATTAAATTCTATAAAAAAAAAAAAAAGAATTTTTCTATGCTAGCCTACGAACTTTTCAGCCCATCTGGTAATTGGAAGATAAAATTAAATGTAGATAAAATTGAAGCAGTTCTTTTCACTTGCAAAAAATCCTATAACCTCCTTAATTTTAATATCTGTAATAATTATATCCCCCGGCCAAAAAGAAAGTAAGTACTTCTGAATTATCTTGATAGTAAACTTAACTACAGATAACATATCTACAATCTTAGAAATAAATTCAACACTCAATTTAGAATTCTCTATCCTTTAATCATTATAAATCTGCTTTACTTCTTAATCTCAAAATTTTAATTTATCTTTCTTATCTACGTCCAGTTTTAACTTATTCAAGCCAAGTTTGGGGTTGCGTAGTGTTATTTAAAATCCATACGGCAAAATAAAAGACGATAATCAATTTTCACATTTACAACATCTTTTTTATTTAATTTCTAACGCCAACTACGTTCTGTTTTTCATTCTAGCGGGAAAATTCCCTTTTTTAACAGTGAAAGTAGAAGTCGTTCAATTTGTATTCCATTTTCCATCAATAGCTGTCGCTACATCACTCCCCTACCAGTAACAAAGTTACGTTACTTTGAAAATGGTAGAAGAATTAATATATCTATACAAATATTAGCGAACAAATACACATTGATGCAAATTTAAATTGCACAAAATAAGTACATATACAATTACATATAAACATTTACATACAATAAATCAAGTTAATTTTTAAAATGGACATGGACGAATTATAATTTTGAAGAAAAGTCAATAATGTCATTGAAACGAACAGGAAGTTTTACTTGTCTTCCACAACGTGTTGTTGTGTTTGGTTGTGCAACTTGCTGACTTGGTATAAATGTTTGCTCACTCGGCACAGATGTATGATCATTTGATGACGTTGGATTCAGAAGTTCATTAGGTTGTAACACATATGCCGGTTTTAATCTATCCACGGAAATATTAACTTGTTTATTTTTAATTGATAGAAGAAAGTTTTTAGGGGATCTTTGCAATACCAAATAGGGTCCTTCATATGGGGTTCTAAGGTTTTTAACTCTGTCAATTCGCAGAAACACATTTGAGCACGTATACAAATCTTGTGGAATGAAGATCTTTTGTTGACATTTGTTTTTGGATTGGTATGGTTTTAAGTCGGCCATCTGTTTTCGGAGATTGCTTACAAAATTATCATCAGATATTGGCAATCTGGATTCTTCAAAGAATTCGCCTGGTAATTTAATAGTTTTGCCATAAACCATTTCAGCTATTGTATACTTACAGTCCTCATGTAGAGCAGCTCGCAAACCCATAAGAACCGTTGGTAATGTGTCCGTCCAACGAACGTTGTTAAGACATCTAATAGCTATTTTCAAGGTACGGTGAAGACGTTCAACTTTTCCATTACTCTGAGGATGATAAGAAGACGTATGGTTTACTTTAACACCACATAGCGCAGCTAAACTTCGAAATAGTTCTGAAATAAATTGAGTGCCTCTGTCAGTAATAACACAAGTAGGTACATCAAATCGGGTAATCCAATGCTCATAAAAAGCTTTTGCTATACTTTCTGCAGTGATATTTGATAACGGTACCACTTCCATCCAAGAGGTAAACCGATCAATACACGTCAAGCAGTATGTGTATCCATTAGAAGGTGAATAAGGTCCAATTAAATCTATATGAACGACACTAAATCTCTCATCTGGTGCTTGAAATTGTGAATATTCTGATTTTGTATGTTTAGTTATTTTATTTTTCTGACAGTTGATGCAAGTTTGAGTCCACTGTTTAACATCTTTTTCATATTTGACCAAATGAATCTTTTAGTTATTTCTTTTACAGTAGTTCGAATTCCAGAATGAGCTAAACTGTGAATTGTATTAAATATTGTCATTCGAAAATTTTTTGGTATGAATGGTCTGATACTGGAAGTAGAGGTATCACAATACAAGAGCTTTCCTGATGGCAATTGGTGTTCTTTAAAATCTAATGATTTGGAATGTAATTTCAATTGTTGCAGTTCATCATCATTAATTTGTGCATCTGCTATCAAGTCATAATCAACAATAGGTGAATCGATGTCCTCAATTCTAGACAGTCTGTCTGCTACCACATTGTTTTGACCACTGATATGGTATAGGTTAGTAGAGAATTGTGAGATATATTGTAGGTGTCCTAGTTGCCTGGGGGAGGCTTTATCATTGTTTTGCTTAAAAGCAAATATTAACGGCTTATAATCAGTATAAATATCGAAATCTCGACCTTCAAGTAAATGCTTAAAATGTTTAATGGATAAATATATACTCAAAAGTTCACGGTCATAAACGCAGTAATTTTTCTGAGCATCATTAAGTTTTTTAGAAAAAAATGCAATTGGCTTCCATCCATTTGGTTCTTTTTGTTGAATAACTGATCCAATAGCCCAATCAGATGCATCTGTAAGAAGTGCCAGAGGGTAATCTGAGTTGGGATATCCCATTAACGCTATTTGAGCAACATCTTGTTTGCATTTTTCAAAACTTTGTCTAGTTTCATCGGTCCAAGGTATTTGGCGTCGATCTTTTTGTAGATCCTTTCAAAAGTTCATGTAGAGGGCTTGAGTTTTTGCGGCATTATTTATATAATTACGATAAAAATTGATCATTCCTAAGAAGGAACGTAATTCGTGCATAGTTTCTGGCAAAGGATAATCTATGATAGCTTTGATTTTTGAGGTTGAGGTTGTGAGCCTTCCGCAGATATTTGATAGCATAAAAAATCTATTACAGGTACTCCCAAAACTGATTTGCTAATATTAATCCATAGACCATATTTATCTAAACGCTGAAAAACTATTTTAAGATGTGAACGATGTTCTTCCTCGCAAGAAGAGGCGATCAACACATCATCTAAGTATGGAAGCACAAAGTCTAGACCATAAAGAACTTCATTTATAAACCTTTGAAATGTTGTTGGAGCATTTT